AAGCTCGATCGGTTGAAAGGACGGCATGTAGGGCGGCGTCCAAATCAACGCCCACCCCTTGTTCCTCGTGGACGTCACCACCCGTTCCTCGAGCCTTTCAGGGTGATTGAGGTGGATGTACTCCCGAGTGGCCGTTGCTACCTCCGCTCTGCTTACACCNGCTGACGTACTGCTTACCATGCTGCCAAAAAAGCTCGATCGGTTGAAAGGACGGCATGTAGGGCGGCGTCCAAATCAACGCCCACCCCTTTTTCCTCATGAACGTCACCACCCGTTCCTCGAGCCTTTCAGGGTGATTGAGGTGGATGTACTCCCGAGTGGCCGTTGCTACCTCCGCTCTGCTTACACCGCCCTCCCTGTTCCCTGCAGGGAATGAAGAACCAGGCTCTGTCGGTACCTCGAAGTTGTACTCAACACTGCCCTGTTCGCCCTCCTTACGCCTAACCCTGATCGGCTTGGCCCCAAACATACGCAACAGATCGACGTTTTGCTTCTTGGTGTTGGTTTCCGGCACTTTGACTTCCGCGTCAAATCCATGGTGGTATGAGGCGTTGTCAAGAACAAGAATCATCCGATTGCCTTTGAACTCAAGGATCGCGTTGTACGCAGGGCTAAGGCGGTGTTCAAGCCACTCCATGAACATCGAGTCGGTCATTGCTGCGTGGTAATCGCCCTTTGCCAACTTTGCCTGCCACATAATCTCTGCTGTCTCCTCATCTTCCATTTCCTTCTTGCCGCTACCCGTTTCCTTGAACCAGCCCTCTTCGATCGGTAACCCATCACAAAGCTTAGCCAACGGCCCCCACTTCGTGATTGCATGCACCATGATCATGCGCAAGCCCTTCCCCGTTGTGCGACCAATCCCATCCTGCACAACTCCATCGTCGTCCGAAGGAAAGTAAGAATAGGGGGAACCATGAGCCTGGTGGACAAAACTCTCATCCATGTACACGATCACTGCTAACCCAGCATCCTCTGCCCTCTNTTCGATCGGTAACCCATCACAAAGCTTAGCCAACGGCCCCCACTTCGTGATTGCATGCACCATGATCATGCGCAAGCCCTTCCCCGTTGTGCGACCAATCCCATCCTGCACAGCTCCATCCTCGTCCGAAGGAAAGTAAGGATAGGGGGAACCATGAGCCTGGTGGACAAAACTCTCATCCATGTACACGATCACTGCTAACCCAGCATCCTCTGCTCTCTTTGCCATGTCCATCTCGACAAGAAACCGACGAATGCGAGCAAGTCTTTCGGCGTTTAACGGTGGCGTTTTGATCCTGCCTCTACGACGCTTGTAGCCGAGCCTACTCAGCAGCCCTCCTGCCGAACGGTTAGACAGCTGCTCCATGTTGCAAGTCCTGTGCATCCATTCTGCCACCGTGCGGCGAAAGACTTGACGACCGGCCTTGTGCTCGTCATTGATGAACTCGCGAAGTTAATCTTCTTGTACTTCGGTGAGGCGGCGTCGCCCATCATCCTTCTTTGCCGTCTTGCCTCTCCCCACGGCGGTGGTCTCGTACAACTGGCGGTGATCCCACCAGTGGTTGTTGATGCGTCTGACCTTGTCGTGGCCGATCTTGAAAGTGTGCGCAACCTGCCAGCATAGAGAGGTCCAGAGAAGGGAAAAAATTGCAGCATCGTTCATGAATAAGGTCAGTTCACTTGGACATTGCACCGAGAGACATCGCACATGCAAGCCTGCTCAGGTACAGTAAAGTACTGCTGTAAAGTACTGCTGTACAACAGTACAATGTATTCCTGCTGAATATTTGTGTGACGTAGACAGGTGAGTCAACCGTGTAACGAACGGCAAAGGCTCGCGCCCGACATAAATGCAACGAAAACACACACACCACACATGAACNACAGATGTGTCCATGTAGTCCAGGCCCTGAGCAACCTTCTCCGCCGCAGCAGCAGCTGCTGCTTGGACGCGCTCAACCTCCTGCTGCTCACACTTTTCCCGCTGAGCAGCGGCGCGCGCCATTTCTTGCTCCTTCTTAGCGAACGCAGCCTCCTTCGCTCTGAGCGCTTGCTCCCTCTGCGCCATCTCTGCTCTGTCCGCCGCGCGCGCTGCACGTTGCTGCTCGAGCTCAGCTTGGAGTCTCTCCTGGATCAACGCACCTCTCGCTGCTGCTGTCTTGGCTCTCTTGTCCGACTTGGAAGGGCGTCCAACT